TCGCGGATCAGCTGAATCAGCTCCGGTGAGAGCTCTCAATTTATTAATTGCTCAAGGGATTCGGAGTTTTAGCGCTGACTCGTTCTGCTACGTTCTCGACCAGTTACCTCTGTTTCTGGCATTATTTACCTGAGGCCTACTTCGACCCTCTTTACCTCGACCTAGCAGTTTGAGCAACCGTGCATTTCCGTAACCGTCCGCTCTTCCGTTCCGTGCATCCAGGTGCGTCTGCTGATATTACGCGACCCCAAAAATCGACAGGATCCGTTAAGTTACCGGCTATTCTGATAGGTTCCGTCGGAGCTCCCGTTTTAGCGGAGTTGACGCTCTTCCATCTCAACTCCCAGGTTATACCGACTTATCAATTCCCAGTGAAAAAAATACTGGCTGGCCGGCCGCCTGGCATGCGGATGCATGAACGAAGAATGGATGGCCGAAGGTGACGTGGATTAGTTCTCGGTTTTACGTTATCGGTGTCGAGTAAAGAAAATACGTTACAAGGCATACTGATACATTTCGCAATTATTTTTAAGTTTTTTCTCTCTCGCAAACGTCGGATTTCTGCAATTTACAGGATGTTTAGGAAGAATATTGATGCATATGAGAGTTAAGTTTATTATACTAGTTCGATATAAACGAATAACGTTTTCGCACTCTTCCGCAGTTATTGTGATTATCCTTTCTGAACTGTTTCTTATATCCAGTTTAAGTTGGATTTTATACTTATGGAAAATGCAGAAAGCCTCGGAATGCGGTATTTCGCTATTCTATACTTTCTGCTAGGAAAGGTTGAGCTGAAAGTGGAGTTTAAGAGAAATTAAGTCAAGCGATACAGCTTAAGTGCCGCAATGTACCCGCCGATTGCTTCCCCGTCGGTAATGCAGGATGCTACAATGCCAACGGAGCTAAGTGATTGCAATAATCACCGTTGGTCTGTCTCATAGCTTCTTAAGAGATCCGCACGGAATTCTAGACAGTCAAGGATCGCTAGGATCGCAATTGCTGAAATCTGCAGGAACTTAGGATTAGAAATTTTTTATTCCAAGAGAACTCCTATGTCACGATGTTTCTGATCGCTTGGCTCTACTGGATAGAATGGAATTTCGAGATAACGGGAAAGTATCGTAATTAATTTTTTCGTTCTATCGAAAGATGTGTTTTTTTAATCGTTCTCAGGTAATGCAATCCTTAACAAATCACACGTGGGTTTCTACGAAATCACGGAAATATGTGATAAAACCGAAAGAATAAAATATATTTCAGTGTAAAGTCATCCACGTGCATACTGTGTGACAAAAATAGAACCACTTGTGGCTTTCCACAGATTTTAGTTTTTAATCTGTCAAAAAACACGTTAAACTCGTTGATCGACTACGGATGCAAGACAGTTTAATCCTGCTGGGCTGTTGAAGTCCAATGGTAGAGTATTCCATTTACTTAAGTCTAGTTCACACTTTTACCGTCTCCGCGGTCTGCGACGGTACTGTATATCTATTTCTAATTCACAAGGACTTATATTTCTTTCTTGTGCCATCAAATAAATAATTTCTAATCAGATTAATTTGATTTTTTTTTTATATATTTTTCAGGATCTGCTAATTCTTTCGATATCCAATCGACATGGAGGCCCCTACTATTATCTGAGTTTACCCCACAAAGAGTATTTATCAATATCGTTTTTAGACGTTGTTCCAAAAATAAATTGTCTTATAATTTCTATTTTTTCAAATTTTACTGTGAAAGGTCTAAAAATTAAATAATTATCAATTTGTTTCTAATCCTATTAAATTTCGCTCGAAGTGATGCATTAGGAAATCTCTTAATCGACAATCCCTAATTCCTATTCCGCACAACATGGATTATGAGAGACTGTGGAATTTCGAATTTATTTTTTTTCCCCTTATAATAACATCCTTCTCATGGGTGTACAGGATTTTCTGGGAAGTTAGAGTTTTTTGAAAATTTCCTCAAATAGCCATCATGCATATAAATAATAATGTAAAAAAATGTCGAATGTTCGGATTACAATGGAAAAACCCGCTTGGAAAAACATATATGAATTTTATACGGTAGTGGTGAGGGGCGGGAGGTGTCAAGAACGTTAATATATACATATAAGTATTATACGTACTTATAGCAATTCCAAGCACTGCAGTGCAGACTTCATTGCCTACAAGGCCTAAATATAGATAACTAATGGAATCAAGGTAAATTCAACGAGTTAGTAAACAGTTCGGATATCGGAGGTTTTACTCGCATTTATATACATACTATAGTGTAGTATATGCGTTACGCACATACTATATCTATTTTACTGCCCCCCCCCCCCCCCCC